GAAGGAAGGAAGGAAGGAAGGAAGGAAGGAAGGAAGGAAGGAAGGAAAGGAAGGAAGGAAGGAGAAAGGTTCAGAGAGAAGGAGGAAGGAAGGAAAGGAAGGAAGGAAGGAAGGAAGGAAGGAAGATTATAATGAAAGTGGGGGAGGATCTGAGGGAAGTCCTGCCTTGGGCACTTGGCCACCACAGGCACCCCCAACACGAGTAACGTCGAGCTGGCCACGCCTACCCTGACCGCACCCACCTTGGCCACACCCACCATGATCCCCCATCACAACCCTGATGCGGCCCTCCATGAAATGGACTTTGACACCCCTGCCCTAAGAGATCCTTTGGGTCTCTCAGACAAAAAGTCCCGTTCCCGTGAACCTGGGACGAGGAGGAGATGGATCACCCCATGGCTTCCTTTCCCATCGTTCTCTGCAGGCGCCACCTTGGTCGTCATTGGTTCGCATGCCGCCTTCCATGAACTGGAATCCGCCGAGACCGACGAACTGCAGATGGAGCCCGTGTAAAAAAAGAAAGAAAGAAAGAAAGGCTGCAGAATTCCCCTCTTGGATCCGTCTCTCCCTCTTTTACCCCGCTTGCTGTTACATTATGCCTATGTATCCGGTGCTGCTATTTCATTCAACGTCAATAACGCCAACTTAAATTGCCATTCCTTTCCGAATTTTGAAAAATTCTCCGTGGCCGCCCTATAATCGAGGATGCTCTTCCGTTTCTGACCCTTCGGCGATCCCTCCATCTCTGAAAGTCGTATTCCCGGCAACCGTGGGCTTTTTCATTGCATATATGATATAAAAGAATGCTGCCGTTAAAAGGTGATTTCCTCTGTAGGTTTTTAGATCCCAGCGTTGCTTTCCCAATAGCTTAGAAGCCTCACATGCCAACTTCCCGCACTCAGCTTCCTCCTTGTCTCTGATCGTTGACATTAAAGAAACAGTGACATTAATTCCACGCCTCCTTGTGAGTGTTTAACGCCGCCCAAGGTTGCAGTGACCCATAGGATTACATCAATCCGTATACCTGATACCTGCTGAGTTCCCTTTCCAAGGTCTGCAGCTTACTCAGCAACGGTGCGTAAAAATGACATCTCGCAGACCTTCTGCGCAGCTGCTGCGTTGGGTCTTAATTTGTGAGATGGGATATAGGAAAAAGAGTCACCCTCTGCGTGACCCTTCACTAAATTAATCCAGGCTCTTGACACGGGGCTTATTCTTTAATAATAGCTTGGGGTGTTTCGATATTCAAGCATCGTTAAGACTGGTTGTCAACTCATAAAATATCTCCATGGTCTTTTTAGAGTTGCCAACAGAAAAGGAGGAGGGAGCATTGCGGCCGCTTGGAAATCGGAAGTGCATTCCATAAACGTTTTCAAAGATAGTAACTAGGTGACTGAAGTTTCTGCCGTGCAAAATTCTAACTGGAGAGCTTGATGGATGACTCTGGGCTGTGGAGGTGTCCCATTGGAGGATAGGAATTACGATACACCCAGGGAGTGGGAGGGAAACCTGGGTCAAAGGTGACAATGACTGATGTGTCTCAGAGTCGGCTACATCTAGGCAACGCCGCACCTTTTAACTTCCAATAAATCCTTTTCACGGTTTTGGAAGTTTGGCTCGAGACTTATGATTTAAATGAGGCTAAGTGATGGAATCCTGACAGCTGGTTCACATGGGACATAACGAAGAGGCGTCTTAATCTTGTGGAAATCTCTTCAAAATGTACAGAAGAGACATTATTTTTTTTAAGGCACTTGTTAGTCTCCTCTACAATACTACTGTCTCGGTTGAGCGTATGGGTCGTTCTCAACTTACAACAGTTCATTTAATGACCTGTTGTGGCCTGTTGGCCGCCGGCCCCTCTAGCAGCTGAATCAGAGAAGGAGGAGGCGTTGGACTCAGGGCCAGCATCAAGGAAACCTGAGGGGGAAGGGGGAATGGAGCTGTCAGAGAGACAGGCGGAGCCTGGGCCGTCCATCAGCCCTCAGATGAAGAGTCAGCAGCCCCCAAGTCTGGAGGTGGCTGATGAGGAAGAGGAGGAACAGCTGGGCCCAGTGCCTGATGCTGTTGTGGCCTGCTAGCAGCCAGCAGAGCTGGTGGCAGACTCAGTGAGGCAATGGGAGGAAACCTGGGCCAGTCTGGGGAAGGCTCTGACGAGGGCTCTGTGTCGGAGGCAGAGATGGATCCAGGGCTGTCTGGCGGTTATCAGCTGCCTTCGGAGTCGGAGATCAGTGGGGAAGAAGAGCAGCTGGAGCCTGTTGCCTGTGTGCGCATGCGCAGAGCTGCCAGGAAAGGGAACAGTTAAGGAACGAGGGTCGACTCGGAAGTAAAGGCTCAGATGGACGGTGAATGGCCGCTCCCGTAAGGAATAAAGAGCGAAAGGGGAGTGGTGTTTGCAGGAGACGATTAGCTCAATTTATGAAGGTGAAGACCTGTTCCCGACTTCTTGTCAAGTAATTTCTGCTATGGCATGGTGTTTGGAAGATATCGGCCTGGCAACTCTCCAAGCCTGATTAAGGTCTGTAGTTGTGAAGTCTCATGAAAGACTGTTGGCTGGGACTTTGCTGGAGAGGAATTCCCTTTAACCTAAATAAAAGGGGCTTTATCTGCTTCATGATCTTGGGAAGCCTAGGTCAGAACAGACACATGGATGCGCAGAAGGCAGAGGAGAGGAGAGCAGTGGAAATCTATGGGCCGGTCCTTGGGAAGGAAGAGCCACTGCTGCTAGTGAAGCCCCGCCCTAGCTCTGAAGGTAAAAGGCAGGGGGCGGAGATGAATAGATGTGGCAGACAATTATTCACCTCCCTGCCAGACGGACTAGTTAGCCTGCGGTGAGAGAGGGACTTTTTGCTGGCGCTCCTGATAAAGGAATCATTGAGTTAACTACAGAAGGTTGGAGCCGGCTCAGAAGATTGTTTGAAGTTACGACGGCACTGAAAAAAAGAGACTTGTGATTGCTTTTCAAACTGTTGACCATTGCAGCATCCCCATGGCCACATGATCAAAATTCAGACGTGGAATAGAGCATAGCAACAAAGTCAGCCAATGAGATCAGTTTAGAAACTGAAACTAGCTGTAGCCTAGGCTGGAAACTGAAACTAGAAGTAGCTTAGGTGTATTAAGCTCTGCAGCTCCGAAGCTGTGCGAAGCTCTGGGTCTGTTGAAGATGAAATTGCTTCTCTCCTCTGCTGAAGTTACTTGCAACGTGTTTCTGTCTGAGTTTGCTCCATGTTGGAGAAATCTACAACTGGTTTGTAAAATTTACTTATGTTTATAAAGATGTTAAATGAAGCATCCGCCATCTGTGTTTATTTTTCTGGCGCTGAGTTAACGCTGCAAAACTCTAAACAAGACTCTTAACAACCGACTTCTGTTTGTGAAGGTGGCAGTGTCCCCCGGGGTTTATACCATCACCTTTTCCAACCTTCTGCCAAGCAAAAGCCAGATTCAGTTAACAATTGCGGTGATTCACTTAGCAACCCTGGCAAGAAAGGTCATAAAATCGGGCAAAACTCACTTTTAAACAAAAGTCTCACTTAGCAATAGAAATTTAGGGGCTCAGTTGTGGTCGTTAAGTCAAAGACTGCCTGTACATATTTATATTTTCCACTTTATTCTCTACTCCCTTATAACTCCAGATTCTCTGCTTCAGCTTGGCCTTTCTTTAGGTTACAACACGTTGCAATTCCCATCCCATATTATTCAGTTTTGGAAAATAGGGAGCTTGAACTGTCTAGTCGCACTGATGACTAATATTCTGGCAATATTACATTAATATGTTCCAGATAAGATCATTCTGTTCTGTTCGTTGTAGCAGGACGTCTCCATGGCTTCTCAGAAAATTTTTGTTCCATGGCTCAAAGTCTTTGGCGGGCAAACTCGGCCTGTCATTCGAGAGGGAGAGAGAGAGAAAAAGGCCTCAAAGGAGGATTCATAATTGATGCTTTCCTGGCGTATTTAATTACTCCTCCGTAAACTTAGCCAGTGTGGCCGATAATCATCCAGCTTTCTGTCTCGGATTAGGGCCCAAACCCCACATGCTCCGTTCCAAGAAAGAAAATTCTGACAAAACATTAGGAAAGTTTTTAAACTGTGTTTCTTTTTTTAGCAGAAGAAGTCGCTTTAGCGGAGGATTGCTTTTCCTTTGTGAAAACCTGGCAGGCTATTCTCATCATGATTAGTAAAGCATTTCATTCTCGCCATCAAGCTAGGTTTCATGGCTTTGGGAATATTTCTATTTTTTTTTAATTCTTTGTTAAGGATTCTCCAAAACAATTTGGAGCCAGTTTGGTCTAGCAGTTAAGGCACCTGGCTAGAAACCAGGTGATGGCAAGTTCTAGCCCTTCCTGAGGTTTGAAAATGTCTGAATGTGGGCCAATCATCAGGAGACAGTGAGTTCTAGTCCCGCTTTAGACATGGATATTTAAACCAATCACAGGAGATCGAGTTTTAATTCCACCTTAGGCACGAGAGCTGGTTGAGTGACTGTGGGCCAATCACCAGGAGACGGTGAGTTCTAGTCCTGCCTGAGGCATGAATGTTGGGCCCACCCCAGTTGTTAACACACCAGGGTTGTAATTCCGGAGTTGTTATTCCTCCTACCTCGAAGGCAACAAATTTGGAAAGCCAGCCTCTTTTGGTGGTGCCTATTTTTGAATCAAGCAGGATTAAGTCCATTCCAAAGGTGCTATTTTTATCAGAAGTCTTTCCAAAACAAGGGTTGCAACTGGTTTCTTATTTTTATTTCTTATTATTTTAATCTTCTCATCACTCCTTATCACCCATCCCCTCCCAGTTGTGACTGTATGACTGTAACTTTGTCGATTGTATCCTAACGATTTATATTGACTGTTTCCTAGTATGATTTGATTGCTTATTGTACCCTACGACTATTATTAAGTGTTGTACTTTATGATTCTTGACTCTTGACGAATGTATCTTTTCTTTTATGTACACTGAGAGCATTTGCACCAAGACAAATTCCTTGTGTGTCCAATCACACTTGGACCATAAATAATTCTATTCTATTCTATTCTATTCTATTCTATTCTATTCTATTCTATTCTATTCTA